TGTGTGGATCACAACAAATTGTGACTAACTTTGAGAAGAATGGGGAGCCCAGAACACTTAACTGTGCTCATGTGAAAAGTATACCTGGACCAGGAAGCAGTAGTCAGAATAGGGCAGAGAAACACTGCATGTTTCAGGATCAGGAATGGTGTGCATCAGGAACGCATCTTATTTCCACACCTTTCCTATCTATATGCAGAACAGATGATTTGGGAGGCTGGACTTTATGAGGACAACTGTGGCATCAGGATTGGAGGAAGACTCATCAACAACCTACATTATGCAGACAACACAATCTTGCTTGCTGAAACTGAGGAGGGCATGGGACATTTGCTGCAGAAGGTCAAGGACTGTAGTCTTCAACATGGATTGAAGCTCAACATCAAGAAAACATAGATTCTTACCACTGGGCCAATTAGCAGCATCATGATAGATGGGGAAGAGATTGAGATTGTCAATAACTTCAGCCTGCTTGTTTCCATAAGCAACATTCTTGGCACCAACAGTCAGGAAATCAAAGATGAATTGCTTTGGAAAAGACCGCTGTCAGGGACCTCTCTACAGTACTGAAAAGCAACATCAGTCTGGAGATGAAGATGCACCTGATCCAGGCTATGGTCTTTGCAATTACTTGCTATGCATCACAAAGCTGGGCAATAACTAAGGAAGGTAGAAATATCAATGTCTTTGAGTTGTGGTGCTGGAGAATAGTGTTGAACATACTGTGGACTGTCAGAAGAACAAACAAATTGGGCCTAGAGAGGGTGAAACCAGGCTGCTCCTTGAAGGCAAGGATTCTGAAGCTTCGTCTGATATACTTTGGACATGTTGCAAGGAGGGACCAGTCCTTGGAGAGGGTCATCATGCTTGAGAGGGTGGAAGTACAGCATAAGAGAGAAAGACCTCAGTGATTCAGTGACTGGAGAAATGGGGAGTAATAGCTGTGTCAGATTGCCACAGGATAGAGCAGGGTTTAGGGCTGTTGTACATAGGGTTGCTATGAGTCGCAGGTGACTTGACAGCACACAACAACAATGACAGAAACCATCATCATGAAATTTTCAGTTTGAGTTCTTATAGTAAACCAATTAAGATAGGATTGATAAAATTTTAATACCAAAAACTAAGGATCTCTATCATGCCCCTTGTTAGCTGTGATAAACATCAGGTATTATGAATTTGAAAATACATTCTAGTAGCCAGTTGAGGTTCAAATTCCAATATAAATGGTTTAAAGCAAAACTAAAAACAATTACATTGGTGTGTATATGTCTAGTACTAGTGGAATGCTTACTATATTCCCAAAACGTGTTCCTGAGCATTAAACAACCTAGGATTTTGCTTTTTTATTATCTTTTCCAATCTTTCCCTGCTGAACAACATAAAAGTTGTTTTGATAAAGTTGATGAGAGGGAAGAGTTGATGATTATGTTATGGTATGCGTTTTATTGCTGTATTGTTGATATGTACAAGTTGAGTCTACCAGGTCTCATACAGACCCTGTGAACAATGGTCCTATCCTGAACCATCCTCACTATTTGTGACATGCTTGACCCGATTGCCAGTCACTGTGACAATCCATCTCATTCAGGGTATTCATCTCTTGTGTTAACCTTCTATTCTTCCAAGCACAAAATCCATCTCCAAGGACTAGCCCTTCCTGACAGCATGCACAACAGATATGAAAGAGTTGCAAAATTCTTGCTTCCAAGATCAACCTGATTTCACCTCCTCCAGAACAGTTTAAGTCTCTTTACAACCCATGACATGTTCAGCATTCTTCTCCAGCACCACAACTCAAAGGCATCACTTCTTCTGTCATTTTAAGTGATTATCCAGTTCTCAGATGTATAGGAAGTAATTTAGAAGACCACGACTTGTATCAGCTACACCTTAGTCTTTAGACTGACATTATTGCTCTTTAGCACATTAGAGAGGCCCTTAGCAGATTTTCCCAGTATAACTTGTCTTTTGATTTCCTGATTGATGGTGCCAAAGGTATTGATTGTGGATCTAAGTTAAGATGAAATAGTTAAGGTCAATCCTTTCTCCATTTCCTGATAGATGGTGGCATGAGAATTGATAATGAATCTAAGTAAGATGCCATCATTAACTTCAATCCTTTCTCCATCTATCACGATTCTGCCTATTCGATGGTGAGGATTCGTCTTCTGATGTCGCGATGCAATCCATATTGAAGGCTGTGCTATAAAAGGGCTGAAAATCTTAACGTGTTCACCGCATTTCCATGATTTAAACATCAGTTTTCTAGGACTTTTTTGCTTTCATTCTCCAAGTCCATGCAGAGAGGTGGACAATTTAAGATTCTAGGCCAGCTTGGCCGGATTTGCCTGGGAATTTGGCCGCTGGTACTAAAGCATAAAAATGTAAAAGGGCAAGAGCTTGGGTCTGCCTGGGATGGAGGGAAGAAAAGGAATCCCATAAGGCAAGCGATGCGCCAGATGCACACTCCCTAGCCTCCTTCTGCGCCAGCCCCTGGAGTTGGGAAGCTCCGCCCCGCCTTTCCTGCCGCCTCCTCCTCCTTCTATGCGCTGCAGCTGGAGAACGGGTGAGCGCTGCGGTATTTTGTCCCGAGCGGTGACCCCTCCGCAGAGGCAGGCTGCGGCGGCTGCCGTGGCTGTGGCGGCGACGGTGGCAGCAGAGAGCTGAGGCGTGAGGCCCCGGTCCGCCCGGCGGCCTTGAGGCCGCGAGAGGTGGCTAGTGGGCCGCCCTCCGGGGCCGCCGGAGCGGAGGGGGCAGGAGTGGACGCTCGAGAGCCCCGCGCGGCCGCTGGGAAGGTGGAGGAGGCTCTGCGTACCTCCCGCCCTCCGGCCGCCGCCCCCTCGCTGGCCCTGCAGCCGCCGCCACCGCCTCGGGCTCCCGCACCAGGCCCGGCGGCCTTGGCTGGAGAAGGAGGGCGGCGTGCACGCCCGGAGCCACCGGAGATGGCGGGAGGGCACTGCGGCAGCTTCGCTGCGGCGGCGGCCGGCAGCGGCGAGATCGTCCAGCTGAACGTGGGGGGGACCAGGTGAGTGAGCTTGGAGGGGCGAGTTGCGAGGATGCCGCGCGCAGCCTCCAGGTGGGGGACGGGCAGCCGGGGTCGGGGGCGAACGTGAGAGCTGAGCCAGGTGAGGCAGGGACTCGGGGTTCTTCCAGGCGGGAAGAATTGGGGGCGACTTTCTAGCTGGGTAATAGCTACTGTGGGACGGGACTGACAGAGAGGCCTTAGAATTAACAAGACCTGGGTCCATATGGCGGGGTCAGCACCATCCTGCAATGCCGACTCTTCGCCCCTCCCCTTTTTGAGATAACCGAGCTAAGACCGTGTTTAATGTTTTCTTAGCTGACCTTGGGAGTCTTTAAGGAATTTCTTTTGTGGAAGCCTTGTGGTTTGTCAGTGTCTTATGGACCTGTCTTGCTTTTCTCTTGGGTCAGGGAGGTTTCGACTTGGCTTCTGCATACTTACTGCATGCCTATTTAATGGCAGCTTGCAACCCTGAAGAATTTCAATGATGTGAGTGTAGCATATTTGCAAACAGTTGTGATTTTCAGAGTTTCTTGGTGCATCGATTTGAAGATGTATCCAACTTTAGGACAGCGTGTCCAGAACACTTGGTTCTGGGAAGCTTTGAGGATTGGCACAGTGTGGAGTAAACAGACTGAAAGCTCTCTTCTCCCTCTGGCCTTCCACTCCTTTCTTGTGTCTTATATTAAGCTTGTTAGGTTAAAAAACAAAGCAAAAAACCAGTTTTTTGGTGCATTTTCTATGGTGTATGAGTCACTGCTTTCAGAAAAGGGAGTTGATCAGCTCTGAAGAAAGATTGGTTGAGTTTTAGGCTTGGTAGTAGAAACCACAAGGCATTTGGGAGACTAGTATATATTATGGTGATTAAAAAATATGAATGACATTCAACATTTAATGCTCTGTTAATATATTTATAAACACAAAAGGTGAAACTTAATGATTAAAATATATACTGTTTTAACCAAAAGCTTTAATGGCTGTATTAGAGGATTCGTTCCAAGAAATTCATGCTCTGCTCTTTTTTCTCTTTCATTTCCTAGATGTTTTGAGAACTTAACCCCATTGCTACGACCGTATAGGTATTGATCTACAAGATTGTCATGTTTCAGTGTAATAAATGGTCCCCTATCCCCAAGCAAAATGAAAACATGCATCCAGTAACTTAATGGATGCAAAAAAAAGGGGGGGAGATAAATACTCGGTTAGAGGAGCCTCACAGTGTGTGTTAGTATTAATAGTTACTGAAAGAAGTTTTTAGTTAATAACAAAGAATTCAATTTATATTTAAATGGTAGCAGGCGGTGATCTTGGAATGCAGATATTTTATATTTATTTTACTTGTGGAATTAGATTTTCTAAGTGCATTCTTTGCATAGACTACACAAAAAGAGAAAAATATTAATTATTATATTGAACCACTTAGAAGGAAAATGAAAGTTGCAGAATCACTTGTATACAATAGTTTAATGAAATAGATAGTATCATAGCCTATAGAAAACATTGGAGCTCTGGTGGCCTAGCAGTTAAAAAGTTGTACTGCCAACTTAAAGGCAGGTGGCTGGAATACATCACCTGCTCCAAGGGAGAAAGACAGGCATTTTTGGGCCTCAGAAAAAGCACTAGAGAGTGAGCTATGAGTTAGTTCTCAGTCGACAGCATACAACAACAATAATGAAAACAGTATCCCTTAAGTGCTCAAAGAGCATTTTTTTTTAATGGCTTTTAATGATAGACTGGCAATATCTTAGAACTAGAAGAGATAGAGAAGTCATTTATGTCTTGTACAAAACATAGTAACGACAACTATTTAAATAGCTGTAAGAGAGTAAAGCGGACATATTTTTGTTGAATTTTAAAAATTGCCAGGGGAAAACCACATGGAACATAGAATTAAAGTCTATCTGAATTGATAAAGTAAATTTCAGAATTTATTACAAGCAACATCCAGCATGCTGTGTGCTTGTTAAAATTGGTGAGTCAGTGTCTCATCCTTTTACCCAGGAAATCTATTTCAGGCTCACCTCAACATACTGATTATGATTGAAATTATTAACTTTAAGTAGAACTGTGTCATTTTCTAAGTAACACAAATTTAATTACTTAGGGGAAAAAATTTCTGAACAAGCCTTGAGCTGACAGGTTGCAGAGTGTAAAATAGTCTTTGTTTGGAATGAATTTGGTGATCTAGACACTAGAGTGAAACAATGTCATACTGGATTTTCTTTTGTATGTTAATCTTCGTCATAGGGTCACTATGAGTTGCCTGCGACTCAGTGGCACTTAACAACAACAACAATGTTAATCTTAAGAAACATGCTTACCAAAGTTTGCTATGTTCTCTTGAACAAACTATCCACTTCCGACATGCTCAGCCACTTGCATTGATTTTTCAAAATCTGTAATATTAACTGGCAGTTAACCTTTCTGTGCTCTTCACTTATGAGGCTCCTTATGGGTAGAGAACTGTCTTTCATGCTATTGTTAGAGGCCATGGAATTGACTTCTATTCAGTGATCTCTTATCCTGTCCTATCCTCACAATTTCTGATACACTTGAGCTCATTGTTAAAGTCACTGCCAGTCCATCTTGCTGAGGATCTTCTTATCTTTTGCAAACCCTCCACTTTTCCCAGTATGGTGGATGTCCTTTTCCGAGGACTGACCCTTAATGATCATATTCCCAGAGTTTGTGAGACTAAGTTTCCTGTCCTTGTCTCTAAGGAGCGCCCTGGTTGCACTTCCCCTGAGACAGATTTATTTGTTCTTTTGACAGTCCATGATATATTGAGAACTCTTCTCTGACAATTTTGTTCTTTCTCTGTCATTCTTATTCATTGTCCCAACTTTCATATGCATAGAAAGTAATTGAAAAGATCATGGCTTGGGTCAAGTGCATCATAATCTTTAATAGTGTCTTCAAACTGACATTTCAGAAACAGATTTCCAGGCTTATATTTTGGGTGCTTCTGGGTGGGATCAAGCCAGTCTTCCAGCTAGTTAGTTGAACTTTTAACTCTTTGCATCACTCGGGAATAAAGCACCCCTTGCCAAAGCTTATATATAAATGTATGCTTTTAAGAAGTAATGGATAGTGCACTTTTTTAATGTAGCTTGAGGTTGTAGGTGGAACAAAGGTGGAAAGTTATTTAGATAATGATAGAGTATTGGTGTTACAATTACAAGCTAATAGTTATGGCTAATAGCCATTTACTCATGGAACAGTGGATGTACCCGGTATGCTGTTACTGGTACCAGATGCTTTCTGAAGTGGGCTTGCTAGGGGCATCTCTTCATCTACATGAATTTACTCAGGAAAGGCTCTGTTGTAGCTAATTAATTATAAAGGTCCACCGAAAATACATAGCGTCACAATCTCAGTTTTGTATAAACCTTTTAATTGATTATAGAATGTGTTGCTTTTTATTGCACCTCAGTTTCGATTAGCACTTAGTGAAAAGGCACTAGGTGCCAAGTAGTATGTTTGGAAGTATACATACTTCTTTTTACTTTGTAAATGGCAGCAGAGAAGCAAAGATCCTCAACAAGATGAATTGACACAGTTACTTTAACAGTGGACTTAGAGTGGTAGAGATGGTGAAGATGGCACAGGATAGGACAGGGTTCAGATTTGTCCTCCTTTGCATCACTACAAATTATTTACTCCCAGATATTTACATGTAAGGTTTCTGGCCACAAAGACAAATTTTTTCTGATAATAATAAAAGACAATAGTATTGAAAATATGTACAACATGCGTTATGCAGATGATACAACCTTGTTTGCAGAAACTGAGGAGGACGTGACATGTTTGCTGCAGGAGGTCAAGGACTTCATTGTGGTTTTCAATGTGCATTGGAAGTCAACAACAAAAAAACAAAGATTCTTACTACTGGCTTGGCAGCACTATGATAGTTGGAGAAGAGATTTAGATTATTAACACTTTCACATTGATTGGGTTCACAGTCAACACTCTTGGCACTAGCAGTCAGAAAATAAAAAAGATGTGTTACATTGGAAAAGTGCTCTCCGGGACCTCCCTAGAGGGCTGAAGAACATTGATGTCAGTCTAGGGTCAAAGATGTGTTTGAGTCAGGCCATGATCTTCACAATTATTTGCCATACCTCACAGCTGGACAGTGAGTAAGAATGACAGAATAGTCATTGCCTTTGAGTTGTGATGCTGGAGAAGGGTATTGAACATACCATGGGCTACAAAGAGAACAAACAAGTCTGTCTTGGAGAAGGTGAAACCATTTTGCTCCTTCTTGGGAAACAAGGATTTTGAAACTCCATCTCAATATACTTTGGGCATGTTGTCAGGAGGCTCCAGCCCTTGGAGAAGGACATCATTCTTGGAAGGGTGGAGGGTCAACATAGGAGAGGAAGATGCCAGATAAAATAGATTGACACAGTGACTGGGGCATTGGAGTCCAGCATGTTGCAGACAGTGGGATTGACTCAGGATAGGGCATGGTTCAGAGCTATTGTTCATAGAGTTGCTATGAGTCATAGCTGACCTGACAACACATAACAACAACTATGAAAAATGTAAAAAAAGATGTTTGACTTACAGCAGAACCACTTGCTAATAAAAAGTAGTTGGAAAGTGTTGGAAGTTTTGGGGGGTTGACGAAAAAGGGGACATTAAGACCTAAAGATAATTACTATGATAGACTAATTTGTTGAATCTTCAACACATTGGCATGATGAAAATAATGTTTCAGGAGGCCATTAAATGGCAGTGATTGGTTTTGTTGAAAGCTGCTTGACAGTTAAAAAGAAAATGAAAAGTGTAATAAACATAGTTATATATAGATGCAACCTTGATGTGCTTTTCAGTCATTAGCCAGCATATTAAAGGAGGTTAGCTTATTGAACTTTGAAATCTTGCTCTCATTTATAATACCAGATACTTTTAATTGCAGATTCAGTACCTCAAGACAGACTCTCATGTGGATTCCAGATTCTTTTTTTTCCAGGTAGTTTATATAGTTTGTTAATATAATTTAAAATATTTTCTTACTTGCCAAAGAAATAATAAGTTTGATAGTTAATATTTCAAAATAAAAATGTAATTTTTAAATGGGGGGGTTGTTTTACTTTGATATAGGATAACTTATTTTGAAATTTGATAGAGATTTAGAATATTTATACTTAATTTTTAAAAACTAACTAGCTTTTTAATGACTTCTAGCTTGCTGAGTGGAAGAATTTCAACACTTCGAGATGAAACTGGTGCTGTAAGTACAGTAAGATTGATAGATATTGCTGTGTTCAATCATTTAATGCCTATGCTTGTTCTATATACAGTGCCTTCAGTAACCTAAAGAGTTAATCTTAAGATAACTACTAAATAAAAGTCCTTATATGTATTTCAGATTTATTTTTTGAACTGTTTATAGAAATTATAGAAAACTTAGACATTGAAATACTCAGATTATAAGATCAGAGTGTACATCTGCAATAAGGGGAATGCAGCTGAACATCTTTAAAAGAAACCCCTGGAACTTTCTTGTATATAGCTAGCACTTCAGACTCAAAAACATTTTTTTAAAAAGCATTAGTTTCCCATTTATGTACACTCTTCATCCACAGTGCTCCTTGAAGGCAAAGGTGGTAAAGCTTTGCCTCACACACATACTTTGGACAGGTTGCTAGGACAGGCTATTCCTTAGAGAGGAAAGATCAGTAAAAGAGAAGAGGACCCTCAAGCAGATGGATTGACACAATGACCGCAGCAATAGGCTCGAGATGTAAGTGATTATGAGGAGGCACAGCATAGGGCAGGGTTCAGATCTGTTGTCCATAGGGTCACTATGAGGCATACTCAACTCTCTGTCACGTAACAACAACATTTTTTACTCTGTAGTTATTAAAAGATTTTTGTTGTTGTTGTTAACCCCATCCCTAAAATGGAATTTATAGCTGTGTACACTTGCTCAAGGGCCATCTGTGAGTGGTTTCCAACTTGAGGGCACTTATCAACCCCCTTTTCCTAGACCTTGGAGAAGTTGAGATCATGGATATAAGTGTAACTCTGGTAAGGTCCTGATAAATGGTTAGATAATTTATATTTTGTGTTTTGGAAATAATACTCTTTTCTAGTTTTGATAGCAGGTTGTGGTATTTACTTTTATTATTATCCTGTGTGCATGACAAATACTTGTTTTAATGATTTACATATGAATTTGAAATTATGTAAATCACAGTTGATGTCAATAATTATTACTTTGACGATAGTGAAATAGTATTACTGAGACATAGTGTTTTATTAAGAATGTATTGATTCAGGCAGCTCTAGTGGCCTACTGGGAAGGAGTTGCACTTCCAACCCAAAGGCATGTGATTTGAATCCACCAGCTGCTTCAAGGGAGAAAGATGGGGATTCTTCTCTGTGATTTACAGCCTCTGAAAGAAAACACATGAGGCTGCTATGAGTCAGTTTCAATTTGAGAGCACATGACAAAAATAACATAATTTAGATAAAATTTTCTGTCACTTTTAGTTTACTAAAAATATCCCTTATTTGAAATTATAAAACTGACTTAATGTGATACTGGTTTTTGTTTCCATTGCATCTTAAAGTATTAGTTGTTGAAAAAGTTTTGCATGGGAAATAAAATATATTACCATATTAAATTTGCTTGCTTATTAGTTGCATTCCAGTTTAAGAAACATCATAATGTTAGAGATGGAATCAAGAAGCCTTAGTTCTTTATGGTAACATTTCAGATATTTAAGTTATAAGCTTAATTTGTATTATGAAAAGAAAAAAATTCTTATTTACAGATATTTATTGATAGAGATCCAGCAGCATTTGCACCCATTTTAAATTTTCTTCGGACGAAAGAACTAGACTTAAGGTAAGAAAAGTATTATTTTAAAAGAAATTATTGCTGATTTATTTGATTATGTGATTTTTGGTATATTTCTGAAGGCAAAGCAATTTTTTTAAAAGTTGTTTTTATTTTAGCTTCGTTTGTACAACCAAAATTTTCTATACCTTGTGTTTCATTTATATATATTGTGTTTCAGACAGATAAAGCTATTTTTTGCAAGATTTTTTTTTTTACTTCAGATTTTCCCCAGAACAAAACTTTAAGTCAATCCTGGCCTCAGTCATCTTCTTCTGAAGTTTGTCAACACGCCAGCTTCCATCACTTCACTGCATTTCCACAGTGTAGTCACTTTGTTGTGGAAATAAAAATATGATCAAGTTACTACTCTGCTTAAAATCCTTATCGAATATGTTTTCAGATGTTATTGGATAATGATTTTGAACTTTATTTGGTTTTAGTGCCCTTCCTCAGTGGTCTTTTCTGGGTTCTAATACATGTATTCATAGTTTCCTGTACTATTACTACCTCTTTTACAATATTTGCTCTTTTTGTAGTAGTTTCTGAGTGCTGCCAAATCACTTTTCACTCATATTGAGCCCTGATAATGTTGTGGTGAGCACTTGACTGCCAATTCAAAGGATAATGGTTTTAACCCCAGCGGTAGTCCCATGGGTCAAAGACCCACCATCTTCATAAAGACAATAGCAAAGAAAACCCTATAGAACAGTTTTACTTTGTTATGCGGGGTCACTTTGAGTCAAAAATTGGATGACACGTAACAACAACTTAGAGTGCTCTGACTTTTCACCAGGAAGCCCTGATGGTACAGCTATTAACTGAGAGGTGAGTAGTTTAAATGCACCAGCTATTCTTGGAGAGAAAAGGTGTGGCCACATGCTTCTGTAAAGATTGAAACAAAACCATCCAAACTTCTTGTTAAAGAGTTGATTCTAACCTCAAGGGACCCTTTAAGAAAGCCAGACCTACCATAAGATTTCCAGTGTTCTTGGTGGAAGCAGACTGTCTCTTCTTTCTCCAATAGAACTGTTAATATTATTGTTGCTGTTATGTGCCATCTGGTTGGACCATGGGCCATAGCTGACCGTCCAGCAGGTTTTCAGAGGCTTTAAATGGCACAGGAGGAGATTGTCTGGCATTCTCCCAACGAGCAACTTGTGGATTCAAACTTCTTGCCTTTTAGTTTGGCCTACCAGAGGGCTGTTGCTGTTGTTGTGTGTCAAGTCAGAACCCACTCATAGCTGGCTCTCCTCTGGTGAGTTTTCAGAGGCAGTAAATTACCTGGGAGGTGATTGTCTGTCTTTCTCCAGAGAACAACTGGTAGGTTTGACCTGTATTACTTTTGGTTGACAATGCAGCTCCTTAACACTAATCCAGCAGAGTTCCCTTGTAGAGCTGCTAGTAGGTTCAGACTGCCAGCCCTTTGCTTAGCAGCTTAGTTCTTACCCACTGACATCTGTGCCAACTCCAGAGTACAGGTCCCTTCTGCCTAGAGAGTCATGAGTTTGTGGCAAAGTGGATTTGATGTATTTAGTTGTTTTTCCCCCTTTTTACTCTTCTCAGTAGATGTTCCCAGAGAATAAGTGTTATGTGTTGGTGTGGTGTGGATGGTATAGTGATGAGCACAGTTAACTTTCTAAAAGAACAAGCACTGTTCTCTGTCCTCATGATTGAACATTGTGCTTTGTGCATTGTAGGGGTTTGGTATTGCTTCTTTTGCTTTATTTTGATAAACAAGTTCTCATTTAAACGATTTCTTAAATTGCTGTCTTAAAGTCTCAATTCTGTAGAGGAAACTTTAATTCTTTATTGTCCTTTTATATCATATATTCCAGATGAGCTTTCACTAAGGAACTATTAATATATTTTTACATAATTTTTTTTAAAAACAAGCTATTTCATCTGCATTTTTATGATATTATATGATTTTTGGCTTCCCTTTACTGAGTACAGAGATTTTTGTTTCTTTTGTTTGCAGTTCCAAAATAGTATATGCAGTAGATAGATGCTCAGTATTTTTGAGCATGCTTATTAAAGGAATAGAAACATTAACTGGAATTTTATTTGCTTTTTGACCTGATAGGAGGTGAACTTGTAACTTTATTACTAACTACTTAATTCTTGGGTAAAATAATTTTGACCCGTATAATGTAATTAAAGAAGCCTAAGCTAATTTCTATAAGGTCTGATATCCTTGTGAATAATCCAAAACTACATCACCAGTAAAAGGCAGGTTTATTACATTTACTGACTGCTTTTATTAGAAATTACAGCCTTACTATACATAAGAAAGCCTACAATTTATTTTTATTTAAATTCTGAGTGATACCTTCTAAAAGAAAATGGTGAGAATAATGCTATATTCTAATTCTAGTCTTCTGCACAAAACTCCTGCATTGCCCCTATATCACACTGTATTATAATTACCATATCTGTTTGCCTGCCCTCCCCAGGAGATTGGAACTCTTCAAGAACTATTATTTGTATCCTGAGACACCTTATAATTAGCTGTATTACTGTGCTGTTGACATGAATGGTTTTAAGGCAGAATTTAAAAAGCAAGAATGTAGACCGTTCTTATTTTGAATTAACCATAGCCAGTTCTACAAATAAAAGCAATTTAATATTGCAATTGCATATGTATATTAAACCCAAAGAATATTTTTTTAAGAAGCCTAAAATGAATCATTGGTATTTTAAACTTTTATTTTTCTGTTTCTTTGACTTTTTATCTCCACATTACATACCTATGCTGTTGTATAGCACCATGTTTATCTGGGGGACACCCTACAGATGTGCTTCCCCCCTTCCATCTCCTATACCAATTTGATTTTTTTTTCTGGTTGGTAAGGAGCCATTTACTTGAATTTATTCATTTAACAAATATTTATTATCTAACTGCTAGTAGTGTGTTAGGCACTATATAATGTGTGCCCAAACAGATCATAAGTGGTTCATGCTTGCAAGGAGTGTACATTAGGATTGATTGATGTTTTATGTACTGTTGAATTGGAACTGACCTGTGTCTGACTCAAGCATGTTTTCAGTGTAAATCTCGTAGGGAGGCGATTACCCATCTTTCTTCCTCAGAGCAGCTGGTGGATTTGAACCACATACTTTTCAATTAGCAGCACAGTGTTTTACCACTATGCTTCTAAACCTCCCTTACATTAAAATTGGACAGGTTAAAATATATACAGAGGTAATTAGAAAAAATGTAAAAGTATTAATACTAAAAGTAATTTCCACCCTATTGTTTTTCACATCAGAGACTTGTTATATGAGTGGTATGTACAGACACCCTAATCTTGTTTGTTTTTTAAATTTATTCATTGTTGCACATTTTTCTTTTCTTTTTTTTTATTAATTTTAATGAAAGCTTGCAGAGACTTTGGGTATCCATTCATTCATTTTTGCACTTTTCCCCTTGTCCACCCGTTCCCCCCAGCTCGATCTTCTCTTTGAAAAGTAAAAGTAAAATTCTTTCATTGTTATGCAGTCCTTCCCCCTGAGTCCACTCCACAATGTAGCCTTCATTCTGGACTCCTGTCATGACAATAATACCTAATCACATATCCCTTTTAAACAGTTTTCTCCCTCATCTGTTTCAATGCATTATTTATCCCCTCTTTCTCAGTATCCCCTCAACCCGAATGTCAGTCCCATTTTACAACAGTGGCACTATGCAGTATTTGTCCTTTTGTGACTGACCTATTTCACTCAGTATAATGTCCTCCAGGGTCACCCATTTTGTATAGTATTTCATGAGTTTCTTGTTTTTCTAATGCAGCATTGTATTCCTTTGTGTGACCAGAGCTTCTCTATTCATTCAGTTGTTGATGGGCACTTGGGTTTCCAAATCTTTGCTGTTGTGAACTAAGCCACAGTAAACATGGGTGTGCATATATCTGCTTGCATGACGGTTATGGTTTCTTTAGGGTATATTCCCAGTAGAGGAATTGTTGTGTCAAATGGTATTTCTCTTTGCACCTTTTTGAGAAAGCGCCATACAGCCTTCCATAGTGGTTGCACCATTTTATGCTGCCACCAACAGTGAAAAAGGATTCCACTTTCTCCATAACCTCGCCAGCATTTGATGTTTGCAGTTCTGCTAAATTTTCCTATTCTTACTGGAGTGAGATGATATCATAGTTGTTTGGATTTGTTTCTTAGAGCTAGGATTTTGAACATTTCTTCATGTGTTTGTTGGCCATCTGAATGTTGTCTTTGGTGAAGTGTCTGTTCATATCTTGTGCCCATTTTTTACATTTATCTTGTTGTGGTGCTAGAGTATTTTATAAATTCTAGATAAAAGTTCCTTACCTAATACTTTCCCCCAGTCTATGGCTTCCCTTTTTACCCTGTTGGAGAAGTTTTTGGATGTGCATAGAGATTTGATTCTTACAAGGTCCCATTCATCTATTTTATCTTCTCCTGGTTGTAGATTTTTCAGGAAGACTATTTATGTTGTGAATTTGGATTTCTAGAGTTCTTCTAAGCTTTTCTTTAATGAGTTTATAGTCCTTGGTTTTAGTCCTATGTCCATGATCCACTTTGAGTTGCTTTTTGTGTTTGGAGTGAGGTATGGCTCTTGCTTGAGTTCTCTGCAGCTAGTTTTCCAATTTTGCCAGCACCAATTGTAAAAAGGCTGTTTTCTCCACCGCCGCCATCTTGGTTCCCACCAAAGTCTTGTTGTTGCACATTTTATTTCCTCCTCATAGATGCTGTAATCTATTTAATCACTTACGTGTAAGCTGATAATTTTTAAGTAGTTCCTAACGAAATGTGCTTGCATGCATTTTTTTATTGAGACTTTTTCTAAATGAACAATATACTATAATTAAAGGGCTTTATGAAATATATAGGGCACTCTGGTGCCCTAGTGTTGAGGAGTTGTGCTACCAGCCCAAAAGCATGAAGTTTGAATCCACTAGCTGTTCAGTTGGAGAAAGAGAAACAAACTATGACTGCCTCTGTAAACCTGCTGGAGGGTTGCTATGAGTTGGTTCCAACTCAGTAACACTTAGCAACATAAAATACATGTTTTTACAGTCTGTGACTTTGTTCACATTAAGACAGTACCTTTTCCTTCATATGATAATCCCTGTTGCCAGTGTTTGAAAATGAAATAATTTCTTTTTCTTTGAAGGGGAGTGAATATTAATGTTCTCAGACATGAAGCAGAATTTTATGGAATTACTCCACTAGGTATGTGTTCTGATATTTTCTGTTTATGATTTGACCTTTTGTGAACTGAGCTTTTCCAAATTATACTTGCTTTATAAGAAGCTTGGGATTTGTAGATTTTCATATAAATAAGTTATCAGGTTTAAGTAAATTTTTTCCTTTATTTCTCCCTTACCTTTTTAACTAGAGAAAATAAAAATTGGATGTGGTTTTTCTGTTTGCCTGTGTTACTGACAAGTTTGCTTTGAAATGTTTTCAGTAAGGAGGCTTCTTTTGTGTGAAGAACTGGAACGTTCATCATGTGGCAGTGTCCTGTTCCATGGTTACTTGCCTCCACCAGGTATTTGTACTTTGTTTTCTTTAGTCTTTTAAAGAATTATTTTTATCATTAGAATAGTATAAATGTAAGACAAAAAAACCCTGTTCCTTGGTAATTGAGTTTATTTTTTACAAATTTAATAGGAATGAGAATCTCACTATTTCCTATCACATTTTAATTTTTACTATAAAGTTACTACGGGCAGTATTTGTCCTTTTGTGTCTTACTTAGCATACTGTCCTGTAGAATCATCTGTGGTGTACAGTGTTTTAAGAGTTCTTTACTATTTTCAAACACTGTATATATTTCTTCTTTTTTAAAAAAATTTTTTTTAATTTATCCTG